GTGAACACTGAATGATTTCCAGAGCCTCTCTATAGCATTTCCTTCAAATCCGGTAACTTTTGATTAAAGAATCACGGTGCTCCTCCATTACTCTGGAAAGGGGATCCTGGTCTGTCGGGAGTGAGGACATGGCTGCATATGAAAGCTGGAGAAAACAAGAAGAAATGTGTGACCCTCCAGAGGATGAAACCCCTGTATGAAATTGTCAAGAAGTTCAGACCCAATGCGTTTCGAGTTTTACAGTTGTGTCTAAATATTTATTGTAGTTTTTCCCTTGTTTGTACCCTGAAATTGTTGTATGAAAATGCCCTTGATTGCTGTATCCTTAGGCCCCACTCCCTGATTGGCCAAAGTTTGCTGCATTGCAGTATTTCCTTTTATGGCCACCCTTTCCCTAAAATGGATAAACCCTGCCCCCTTTTTCCCTTATATAGTTACACTTTGCATGCTCTACCCTAGTCCCTCCCTTTCTTCTAGCAAATTCTACCCCTACCTTATATAAGCCCTAACCCACCTCCCTAAAGGAGCCATTTTTTACACCCTCATCCCAAGAGTGGCAAACCTGTTATTCCCACAGGGACCGCGTCCGTGGTCCACATGAAGATTTTTTGAAGATCCAGCAGATCCACTTGTAGGTTTAGCAGTGGCTGGGGGGAAAATTGACAAGATTCCTGGTGTTACTTTTATAGCAGACAGGGCATAATAAGGCAAGGACATGACAGGCAACACGAGAGACTGCAATCCAGACAGAGACTTTAAAATTTCCAAGGGAACATAACAACAGAAGGGCTAGGTGCAAAGGAAGAAACCCATTTTTTCCACAATTGCTTATCCGTCAACAGCATTTCTAAAGCAAGTAGAAGACATTCTGGGGGCTACACACTGAACATCTTCAGGCAATCCACAAACAATTCCTGTGCTAAACAGCCCCCTGTAGACCTCTTCAACCCGAAGTCTCTGCTGTCCTTTTATGTTCAAACCAGTGATTTATTGGCACACTACTACTACTACAGAGCACCAGGCACTGCAAAGCAGTAACTCCGGAGGAAGGAATTCCCATGGAACAGGTGCATTTCCTCTTTGGACACCTGGCCTCAAATTCTACAGCATGTTTTATGCTACGTACGGCAAGCACTGAACTGATATTTGCCAAAAAAATACTGAATAATCTTTTCCTAAAGACAGATTATCTTTTGTCACTGATCTTCTTGCTTATTCCAAAAAGACTGCACCACCTAAGCTACCAAGACAAGCCATGAATCACAGAATAGTAGCAAAAATCAGGAACCAACAGCAAAGAACGGGTATGGTGGGGTTTAGTGCTGAATGCCATCGGTGTACATGGGAGGGGAAGTGATGGCTGAAGCTTATACTTATCTCTTGGCTGCTTTGCTGTTTGTGCTTGAGATGAACTCCAGTGAAGGGCAACTTCAGCTTAAGCCAAGGGTTTCTTTGCGCTTGGTTTTTTCCAGGCAAGTGCATAACATTGTACGCAACATTTTGGTAAGCAGGAAGTTTTCACATTCAAGTCTCAACTGGAAGGCTAGCAGAAAAAAAAAACCAAAAACCTACTTATCACAGGAACTTGATAAAAATGGCTCGAGAGCTGTCAAGAGCTAGAAATAGTCACCTTTTTCCTTAAAAACCCTCCTAACATAATGACACATTACCTCGTTGAAGGTCTCTAGCGATTTTTGCATCCCGTTCCTGTCATACCTAGAATTATACAGAAAATACACAGTTAAGACGTAGTATTTACAGAGTTAAGAGGTAAGATTTCAGTGGATTAAGCCATCGTTTTAATCACACCCCTTCGAGGAAAAAAACTTTAGAACTTGATATGGTAGTAGAGTTTGAAGCAAATCCTGAGAAGACAAACTGTGTATAGTGAGAGTGAACTATCCTCAGCTCCTCTGTTGACAACAAACTAAAAGTCTCCAGAGGTCGCAGTCAAGGTCAGAGAGAACTTCAGGGGACTAAGTCCTACCAACAAAAATGCAATAGGAAGGAGAAATGTTGGGATCAAAGCAAGCCCCCAAACTAAGAAACAAAACCCCTCCAGACATCAGTCATTGAAGGGTGGGGAAATGTCATACGTAGTTGTACATCAACTTCCTTGAGAGTACGCTCAAGGCTGTGAGACACATGTGGCCTCAAAATGTATGGGTGCTGTTGCAGTCAGGACGCTGAGTGAGAACAGTATCACCATTCTCAGATCACGTGCATTCTTTTCTTGGAATCAACTCAACTGTTTTCCACAAGTAGATCTGGGAAGCAGTTGTTGCAAAGCGTTGAAGCAGCCTATATAGCGATTTGAACTACACATCTGCATAAATTAGCAACTGGATAAACAATGAGCCATGAAATAACCTGTAGAAATATTTATTTTCTGTAACATCCTTGAGGGAAGCCAGGAAAGCAGTGAAGGTTTCTGTCTTGATACTGACAAAACTTTGAGATGCCCAGAGTTTTCTTCTGGAAAATCACAATGGAAGACTGTTGCTGCACAATTCAATTTTAGGAAGCACTGGGTACTCCCACTGTCCTTCCCTTCACTATCTGTTTTCCCTGTTCTTTTTCAAAAAAGACACAGCTGTCAACTCTTTTCTTTTCAACTAGGGCAGCTTTTTTCCTCAAACAGGAATGGTTTCCTCCTCAGCCTTTTCCTTCTTTTAACATCTTGCTGCCATTTCTCTGTCCTTTCTTTCCCTCACTTGTTCCATGCTCCCTGCCCCTCCTGGTCTTCTCCTTTTCTCCCTTTTGCATTGGGTCCCTGGAGTTTGCTTCCTTTCTAGTGCTGGCCTGCAGAATAGTCCCTGCAGATGGTACAACACTAATTACCTCACGAGTTCTTTCCGTAATGCCTGTCCATGCCTCTGCCCTCAAAAACGTGTTCACAGCGGTACAGAAAAGTTCCCGTCTGTAACTGCCGCTGCTATGCATTACCTACACTGCTTGGCCCCTTTTCATCTCCTTGGTGTTTTTGTCTTCAACCAGGTGCTGTATGTAGACACCTTGTTGAAACGGGTTCTTTCCAATGAAGATGAGGGGACCAGTGAACTGAGATGGACTTCAAAGTGAACAAATGCTTCTCACATTCATCCAACAACTAAACACACTAACTCAACAGAGAAGCTTGGCCATGCCTCAGTCCCATGCTACGTGGCTGTCCCACTGATGACAACTACTGGTGTGTGGTTTCCACGTCTCCTGGTATAATGCTCTGCACTCTGGAAGGGATGTGCTATCACACTGACTGCTGATTACAGGGCATACTTGGACCAGTGCTATTGCAGAGGTTGCAGCATTGCTGCACAATTAGAAGGCCGTGAAGACTTCCCAAGGAGTAGGGAGTTCTGCTGTTTCGTGTAGTAAGATGTAGCAGGAACTACAGGAACAAATGCCTCCTGTCCATAGTAACATATTAAAGCAAGGTCCAGTGAAGAAACTGCTAGAACAAAGATCAATGATGAAGAAAGTGGGGTCTCACAGATGTCTGGTGGCATTTGGCACTCATGGTGACATCAGCCACTTGAAATAGGTCACACATACCATACATGTAAATTTAGTGTAGAACTTAGGTGCGTGGTTCGTGCCCCACAGTGCTCTTTACCACAGTTTGTCTTGTAAAAGAAGGTAGTTACACAGCTCATTGCTTCGATTTCAATATTTTTTGGCCTTTGACCACTCTGGAAAATTTGTACAAACCTGATGTCCTAAAATCTTCAGCTTTACCACAGATGTCTGGGTGGTGTTCTGAAACCCAGACTTCTGTTCAGTCCCAAACTGTTGCCAAGACATCCCAGGCCAGCTGAATCCAGAAGTGGACTTGCAGCCAGATGTATGCTGACAGCGCTGCTTGTGACTGCAGATTTGCTTCTATGGCGCTCCAAAAAGAGGTTGATTTCGGCCTCTGCAAGTCTCTCATCAGCTCTGAAACATTCAGAAGCACACAGAGAGTCATCTTTGGCAGTAAGGCTTTTGCAAAGTTACCCTCCACGTCCTTGACTACTACTCGACTTCTAAAAGCCAGAGGTATTAAGAGTGTCCAAAACAAGCACATCTTTTGATCTGAGCTTGTTCAGAGGGCCTGTTTCTAAGAAATCACACTAAGTGCAAGGAGCAGCAAGTGTCACCTCCATAAGAACTCTGGCCTACCCTGGCCTTCTCAAGGAAAGCTCAAACCTCAGACCTGCTGCCAAAACAGAAGCCAAGAAAGAGCGTTCTTATTTTTGATGCACAGAATCCAACTCTGTTCTCTGAGAGGCCTCTCCTTATTCAAACAGTAAAGGGCACAAGATTCATCTTTTCTGTCCCACACGCGATGAGGAGATTAGAGACTGGCAAACAGACTGCCTGCTAGAACAACATCAACTTGAAAAAGACACCAATAATGCCATAATGGCGCTACTGTGGTGTTACTGCTGGAACTCTTAAAGAGAAAGGAAGACAGGTCTGATGAAGGGAAGGGTCTTAAAGGACTTTCCCCACAAATATGCCCTGTTCTGCTTTCACACATCATGCTGGCGAGATGTAAAAAAGGGATTTTAGAAGGAAAATGCACGAGGAAAAAGGAGTGTGTTATTACCAGTCCAGAAAAGCATGGACTTACCTTTCCAGTTTCTTGGCTAGGCTTTCTCTGGTTTTTGCTTCCACCAGATAGAGCTCTTTGTACATTTCCACTTCTGCCTGGGTGGATTCTTTTTGAAAAGGTCTTTCTGGTTGGTCGCTTTTTATCCTTCGCTGTGCACGTTCAAGATCTCTAATTCTGTCTTCTAACTGTTTTTTCAGTGAGTCTAAATGACTGCTTCTGATTTGTTCTAATCTGTCCTGGGAGGCTGCCTGTGCCTGAAGGAGACAGTGCACCTTCAATCAGCACAAGAAAAAGAGAACTCTCTCCAGCAGAAAATTGCATGTACCCAATTTCAAGGCTTTACTAAGAGAGGCAGCTGTGCCTCCTCACTACCAGCAGCAATGAAAGCAGAACCCTGGAGCTACTATTATACAAAGCTACTAATGAAAGGACACCCTCTCTGTAGGACAGGGTATATGGAAAAGGATTCCTCAAAGACAACAGGAGGATCTCCCACCTCCACAACTTCAGTGACTCCTTTTTTGAGCACCTTCCTCCCCTACAAGGACAAAGCAGCACCTGTAGGTCTGGCCATGACAGCTGGCAGTTGCAAAACCCATTGAAGGTGAGCAGCGAGAACCAGGCCAGCGGACAGAGATACCCCCAAGCACTGCAAAGTGGGAATCTGCCTGGGGCAGGCTTTTGATTCAGGGACCTGCTGGCACATCACACACCCGTGACAGCCCTCCTGCCCTACCATATTGCCTTCTCCCACTGCCTTCAGGAAAGGCAGAAGCTAACACACAGAATACAGGAGCAAAAGAAAAAGACCAAAACCGATGGCCACAACAGAAGTTTACGTAGCGCCTGTGGACACTGGTGAGAAATTCACTTACTTGCAAAAACTCATTGACTTCTCGGAGTTTTTGTCTTATTTCCTGGTCTGCTCGTTCTTCCACCTCTCTTTTACATTGTTCTAGTTGGGTGCGATCCACCATGTTAGTCTCCAAATGGTGCTGGACTTTTGCCAGCTCTTCTTGCAGCTGGCATTTGTCCATCTCCAGGTTTTCGCACTTCCCTCGCAGGGTAGACAGCTCTCCTTGCAAATCCTGATTTTTGGCTTCCAGCTGCGTGCACTTTTTACTTTCCCTGTCCAGCTGCTGGGAAAGTTCAGCAACCTGCAGACAGAAAGAAGAAAACAGGAACTCAGCGTGATGTAAAGGCAGTGAATTCTGTGGAAACCCCAAAAGGGGGTGGCCAGGGAGACTATCTTCATCATCTGCTGGCTCGGGACTAGAAACAAAGTGCAACCAGGCTCTTCTTTTCCAACCAGAAGAGCTTTCACCTCATTTGTCTCAGCATTCCTCAGGTTCCCATCCTTTTGGAGTTCCTCATGCAAAAATGCTACAAGTTTCCGGACTCCAAAGGAATCACTGCAAAGGCAGTAAGTGATTCTACAGTGATGCCTTCCAAACCCAAGTGTAGCTGTGAAAGATGGCCACTTTAGCAACGAATCTGAGTAAGGAGCGGAGAAGGAAATCAAAGGTTCCATGCCACTACTGCACAGGCAGAGCAGCCTCAAAACCACTGCTGGGAACAGTCCTTCTGAGTCCCTGTGACAAGAGGGGCTGAAAGAGCTACCCGTGAGCAATAAGTTACAGATTTTCCCCTGGGAGGCACCTGTCCTCATTGTGCCCTGGGCAGCAACAACACTGTTGAGAAAAGCAAAATGTCAAGTGCCTCCTGCTCAGCTCACGCCTGAGACAGGGCTCAGGGGCTGATTGTGCCCTGCGAGTGACAGCGGTGTTCCTCCCCTCTCTTCCAGGGCAGGAATTCATCTGTCAGACCCAGATGACGCTGTCACAGCCTCCCTCAAGCTACAGCCAGGCCTGAGCTGGGCCCCACTGCTCTCAGCCCATGGACGTGATGTCCTGCAAGGATGGCAGACCTGCCCATCCCTAAGGCCCAGCCAGGGGATCTGCACTCTTGGCTGACCCCGCTTACTGTCAGCAGACCTGTTCTGCTCTTCTTGCTGAGGGCCTGTGGGAGGGCTCCCTGGCCGCTGAGGTCATGCACCCTGCCAGGCTGGCTGCCACTCTTGGCTTGCCCTTCCTCTGCAAGACAGCCTGGCCTCCATGAGCCCTTACACCTACTGCTTTGCCCTTACAGTTGCATCTTTACCCATAATGATAACTACCTCCGTATTATAGTCATCTACTACTGTAACAGCAGAAGGAGCATTAAGAAAAGCCCATCACATCCAAAATGCAGCCAAGGAAAAAAAAATCATCAACATGACAAGAAATATATGGAAAGCATCTCCCAGGTTTCAAAAGAAGTAACATCACAATCAAAAAACCCCACCCAAAGCTCAGCTCACCTCTGTTCGTAATCTGTCCACTTCCTTGACCTTTTCAGAATATCTGTTCTTCATTTCTTCCAGCTGGGACTGGGTTTCTTCATTAGCCCTGAGTTTCCTCCTATCTACCCTCAGAAGCTTTTCCAACCTGCACAGCAAATTAGTTAAGAAAACCATGAAACACAGGAAGAACCAGCCTTTTCCCCACCGTCTCACATAAGCAGCACAGACATCAGAGAAGCACAGAATGGCTTGGCTTGGCAGGGACCTTAAAGATCATCTCGTTCCAAGCCTCCTGCTGTGGGCTGGGACACCTTCCACGAGACCAGGTTGTTCAGAGCTCCATCCAACCTGGCCTTGAACACTTCCAGGGATGGGGCATCCACAGCTTCTCTGGGCAACCTGTTGCAGTTCCTCATCACCCTCACAGCAACCAATTTCTTCCTAGTATCAAACCTAAACCTACTGTCTTTCCGTTTGAAGACATTCCCCCCCCTCTTGTCCTCTCACTACATGCTCTTTTAAATGCACTCTTTTCATCCTTGTGGTAGGTTCCCTTCATGTACTGAAAGGCCACAATTAGGTCACCCCAAAGCCTTCTCTTTTCCAGGCTGAAGTATTGCAATTGCCCCAGCCTTTCCTCATAGCAGAGGTGCTCCATCTTTCTAACCCCCTTGGTGGCCTCCTCTGGACTCACTCCAACAGGTGGAGGTCCTTGCTTTGCTGAGGACCCCAGAGCTGGATGCAGCACTCCTGGTGGGGTCTCACTGATGTCCCTCAGGACATCAGTCCTGTGCTGGTGCTTCAGATCACCTCCCTGTCATCCATGTGCCTTGACATAGCTTCTAGAAGGTCTTTTCCATGACCTTCCCAGGCACAGAGGGGAGGCAGACAGGTTGGCAGTTACCAGGGCCCTCCTTCCTACCCATTTCAAAGATGGGTACAGTGGGTTTCCCTTTTTCCCGTCACCTGGGACTTCACCCGACTGCCACGACTTTTCAAATATCAAGGAGAGTGTCTTGGCAACTACATCAGACCCTGTTGGCCAATGTAGGGCAATAATGCTGCTGAGATGTAGACAATGCATTTAGAAGGAAAATGCATGAAGAAAACGGAGTCTCTTATTACCACTCCAAAAAAGCATGGACTTACCTTTCCAGTTTCTTCTCTAGGCATCTTCTAGTTTTCAGTTCCTCCAGATACAGGTCTTTGTACATTTCCATTTCTCCTCGCATTGCTTCTTTATGAGAGGCCCTCTCTTGTTGGGTTTTCTTTACCCTGTCCAGTTCACTTTCGAGATCTCTAATTCTTTCTTCTAACTGGATTCTCACTGAATCGCAATGACTGTCTCCGTTTTGTCCTAATCGAGCCTGGGAGGCTGCCTGTGCCTGAAGGAGACAGTGCACCTTCAACCACCACAAGAAAAAGAGAACTCTCTCCAGCAGAAAATTGCACATATCCAGTTTCAAGGGCCCTGCCTTACTCAGAGAGGCAGCTGTGCCTCCTCACTACCAGCAGCAACCAAGGCAGAAGCTAGGAGCTACCACGGCAAATAATTCTTTTCATTGGGAAAGAAGCCCAAATCAGCACTCTTGTTCAAAGCTCCTAATGAAGAGACAGTGTATCTGTAGGACAGGGTATATCGAAAAGGATTCCTCAAAGACAATAAGAGCATCCCCCACCTCCACCCCCTCACCCCCACCCCTGGAATTTCAGTGACTCCTTTTCTGAGCACCTTTCCCCCCTACAAGGACAAAGCAGCACCTGTAGGTCTGGCCATGACAGCTGGCAGTTGCAAAACCCATTGAAGGATGAGCAGCGAGAACCAGGCCAGCGGACAGAGATACCCCCAAGCACTGCAAAGTGGGAATCTGCCTGGGGCAGGCTTTTGATTCAGGGACCTGCTGGCACATCACACACCCATGACAGCCCTCCTGCCCAACCATATTGCCTTCTCCCACTGCCTTCAGGAAAGGCAGAAGCTAACACACAGAATACAGGAGCAAAAGAAAAATACCAAAACTGATGGCCACAACAGAAGTTTACGTAGCACCTGTGGACACTGGTGAGAAATTCACTTACTTGCAGAACGAGACTGACGTCTTGTGGCTTTTGACGTATTTCCTGGTCAGCTCGTTCTTCCACCTCTCTTTTACATTGTGCTGTTTGGCTGCCATCCAGCACGAAAGTCTCCAAACGATGATGGACTTTTGTCACTTCTTCTTGCAGCTGGCATTTGCTCTTCTCCAGTTTTTCATACTTCCCACGCAGAGTGGACAGCTCTTCTTGCAAAGTCTGGTTTTGGGCCTCTAGCTGCATGTCCAGCTGCTGGGAAAGTTCACCAACCTGTACACAGAAAAAAAAAAGAAAAGGAAACTCAGCGTGATCTAAAGGCAGTGAATTCTGGGAAAACCTCTAAAGAGGGTGGCCATCATAACTGCATTTATCATCTGCTGGAAACGAGCATAGAAAACACTTGAAAGATTCCCTGACAGAAAGAAGAAACTTCACAACTACTTAAAAATTTGTGAGACACTTCTGGGAGCAATACTTCTGGGTCCCTTGGAGCTCATGATGAAACTCATAATTTCTAATCTAAGAATTGCTCTAGTGTCCAGCACAGCAAATACCCTCAGGGCTTTTGTAACAGCTGGGGAAAGGACCAGGCTGCTTTCTGAGCAGCCTCTACTGAGGAGAAGGCAGAAACTGAGCTCCCCTAGGCTCTCCAGGAAAACTTCACCTTACTGTTTCCCCCCAGAAATAGGCAACTAGGCTCAAGAGTCACAAAAAGGGAAATTTATGACCAGCTTACTGAGGCAGAGGCTTGCAGGTCTCTCTGAAGGGCTTCAATCCTATTGCTTTGTTGCTGGACAGTGGCTTCCAATCTGGTCTTTTCAATTTCAAGGCTTAAAAACAAATACGGGTCTTATTACCAGAAAATCCAGTTCCAGACAAACTGTGCTAAGTAACAGAATCCACAGCAGAAGTGTCCTTCAAAATCCAACTGACTGTCCCGTTGTTTCCACCCAATCCCCCAAAGCGACAGACACCTCGCTTCACTGGGTTACTCTCTTACTGTTGCACGTGTTCTTCCAGTTGTTTTAGAGTGGTATTAGTCTCGGAAGATGCCAACAGGAGGTCCTGCAGTTTTGGGGAAGAAGTTATTGCTTCTCTTTCTTTATCATCCAAGGCAGTCTTCAAGTCACGAACGCAATGCTCAGACTGAAGATGCTTTTCTTCCTCCTCCTGCAGCTGTAAAATCATGGTAAGATTCCACAGTTGTCAGGGGAGCTTTTACATAGAGGAGCCAGCTGCTGCTGAAGAACTCAGGTGCTGCATGTATGTGTGCATACCCTCTGCCCAAAGAACTGGAATCAATTCAAGTACCTTCAAAGCTTCACTTCTACTACCCAATGAACACAAGCTCTATTCCTTTGTCCTCTTTTACAGCAGCCTCTCCCACCCCTCCACTGCTTTCCTACAGCACGGTTCTAAGCACTGACACTGCCCCTCGGACCATTTTTGTGACCTGTGACGCTTCTTGTATTCCCTTGCTTGCTGCTCCAGGAAAAGATGAGTGAACTAATTCATCTTCCTAAAGGAAGGCATCTCACAAGTGTCAGAGGTGAAGTGCTCTGGCACATGTGCTCTGGAGCCCAGGATTGCACAGGGGGAGCATGGGGAGTTTTCTTAAGTGGGAATGACCCCGACTGTAGCACAGAGAGAGGTGCCCAGCAGCCCCTAAGCAGGAAGCAGTGGATGCCTGAGGAGAGGCGGCTCTGCTTCAGTGTGGTGGGGCCAGGAAGGATGGCATCACTGACAAGCTAATGACCACCATTTCAGCAAAGGCAGCCAGGTGAACTGCTCCACAGACCTGCCCTGGAGTCGAGAATCACGCCAGGGGTGTGTGGGGAGTCTTCTTAGACCAGGAAAATCTTGAATGTAGCAGAGAGAGAGGAACCCCAGCCCCCCTGGCCGGTCACGGGTGAAACCCTAAGGAGAGGCAGCTCTGCCTCAGCATGGCGGGTTGTGGGGCAGGGGGCTGGAGGGACAGAGGCAGATCAAAGCCTGATGTAACTGCCACTTCCTTAGGTCTCTGTCCTACTGGCTCCCAGAATACTGTTTTGTCTGGTTTATCCCTGTAGGGACAGGCTTTCCATACCTCCGTGTCAGCCCTGTCCAACTCCTCCTGCAAGCGCAGATTATCTTCCTCCAGGTGAGCCTCATGGGTTCCAGTAACCACAAAAGCAGTCCTAAAGCATCCAAGATTTAATGCGAAACATGTCTGATCCCGCATCATTTTTCCCCTGCTTGTTCCCGAAAGAGCTCTTCCCCTCTTTCCTACAAGCTCCGTGAAAGCGAAGCCAAGTACATGGAAGCATTGGAGAATTTATCTTAGAAGGGGCCTCCCTAAAGCAGCCTCAACTACAAGGTCAGGCCATGCTGTTCAGGGCTCCTTGCACTGCTCTTCAAAGGCCCCACAGATGCAGCTGCACAAACTCCTGGGGCAAGCCGTTCGACTGCCTGACCATCTACATGGCAGGAAGTTTTCTCCTTATGTGTGGTTGGAGCCCCTCGTGTTCCCTCAGACACTGTTGCTTCTCTTTCTCCCAATGCTTCCCTTCAGAGCACTTAACGCACCAACTATGCCTTGGCTTAAACCTCCCTTGCCTGCAGAGCAGCCATGCTGCTGAGCTACTGGCAAGTTTCCCGATGACTCTGGGTCTGTGTGGGGAGAGGGCACCACAGACAACGCTTTCTTGCAGACCTCAGCGGGCAAGGTACAAGAGCCCCTAAGGTACGAGAGCAGCCAAGTGCAGACCTGCATTTACCAGTCACACAGGGAACTGCTTCCACGTGGCTCCTCCTTCTTTTTCCAAGCTCATTGCCACGCCCCTCGTCTCGGTCTTGCTTGCAGGCTACCGAGAAGACCCGTGTGCTGTTTTGACAAACCCCTCACCTTTCAAATTGGGCTTGAGCATGCCTGTCCGCTGCTTTTTTCAGAAGGCACTCCAGAATCTCCTCATGCTGTAGGAGGGCTGCAAGTTTTAAGGGAGTAAATCCCATCTAAAAGGACAAATAATCGCCATTAGAAAGACACAGACAAGCTCTGCAGCTGTTTGAAAGAGCAGCTTTACCCACGTGCCAAGGTTACCTGGTTCTGAGCATCACTACTGGCATTATGCTCGAGTAACAGCCCTGCTACAGCTGTATTTTTAGACAGGACAGCCAGGTGAAGGGCAGTGTTGCCGCCAGCGTCTGCCAGATTCGGATCGGCACCGTGTTCCAGCAGAATAGCAACACATTCTTCCTGCTCCTGCTGTACTGCCTGGGAACAACACACGAAAAGGGAAAGACTTCCAACTTTTACATCCCCCTCTGTCAGAACTTCCTCAGCTCCTCTTCAAAGATTAGCTAACAGAGGCCTATGCCACGCCAATTGCAATATGCATGTTTCTATGGCTCAGTGATGCATGGAATCCTGCCAGACACCTCCCCTTTAACACACCATCACTAATCCCCACCTACAAGATCATAAGGCATTCCACACACCTTCATCAGTGCCGTTCTCTTCAAGTTGTCAGCGAGATTCGGTTGGCTGTTCTTTCTTAGCAGATATCTAAGGACATCTGCATGGCCATTTGCCGAAGCGAGATGCAGAGGTGTCCTAAAAATTAAACACACGCTCTTAACTTAGACAGACAAAGGATGAGCCAAAGCCGTGTCTCTACCCAGCACCCTGGGGACCCTGCCCGGACTCTGCTCCTCCCGCTTGCTGCTCTCTGCTGCTGCTGCTGTTGCTGCTGCAATCCTGCGCTGATTAGCCAGAGGGCAGAAGAGAAGAGGTGAGGGCGGAGCAGCTGCAGAACAGCCCTGCAGAGACTACGGCAAAGCGGCAGGTCGGCAACACGCGTTTCCAACAGCGCTGGAGCCCGGCCGGCAGCAACAAGCAGTGAAAAGGTCAAGAGTTCACTCTCCCAGCTGACAGGGCAAATCTCACTTTTCAAGCCTTGTCCTTAACAGAGGGCTGCCGAGGACTACTGCAGCTTGGCTCAGGAGCAGCCAAGGTGTGCCATCAGCATCCCATAGAACTCACCGCATCTCCTGGTCTCGCCTGTCGATGCCGACGACCTTCACATACCAGCGCCAGCGCCTCAGCCAGGCCAGGTCGCCGCGGGCGGCCGCGCGGTGCAGCCTGCCCAGCCCGTTCTCCCTGAGCTCGGAGGCGCTGGTGGAGCTGGTGGCAGCCCGGGGCTGCCCACTGGTGGTGCTGGATGGTGACTGCCGTCGCTTCTTGCTGAGAAGCCACGGCATGGCCCTGCTTGGAGCTACCAGCAGCAGGAAGTGCAAGAAGCCCCCTTGCAGAGGGGCTGCCGGGCGCCAAGTAGGGATGAGGAATGGGACGAGGGTGAGGTTAAGGGTGAGGGTGACAAAGGGACGAGGATGAGAAGAAGGATGGGCACGGGGTATAAAGCACAAGGCAGATGAGGTTGCCCTGTGCAGCGTTCGTGGCCTGCAGCTACCAAGACGGCGATACAGGCGCGAAATGCTCCCACAGCGGGATGTGCTACTGCTCCTCGAGAGGCTACAGCAGCTCTGAGCGCCGGCTCCGGGCACCAACGAAGCTGTGCTCGACTGGTGCCTGTGGTGTCACAATGGCAGGTGGAACGCTCAGCACGTCACCGTGGGGTGTGGCAGAGGCCACGGTGCAGGGTGAGGCCGAGCGGGACATGGCAGGGTGGGGCAGGAGTGAGGGCGGCCCTGCTGGGCCTTGTGGGAAGGAGGCGGCCTGGGCCTTGTGAGGGCGGCTGGCGGGAGTGGGCACTGCCCCGCCTCAGGGCACCCCGGGGCAGGGCCCGGGCTGCTCCCACTGGGCCGGAGGCTGTGGTAGGCGCTGGAGCAGCTCCTGCATCGCCTGCTCTGGGTTTTTGCTTCAGCCTGTGGCCGGGCTGCCTCTGGACACACTTCCATGAAATGAGGCTCAGGATGAAGTGGGATCCCAGCCCGGGCAGGCGGGGGCCACCACAGCTCTCAAGAAATGCCCACTGAGTGCCCCAAGCCTGCCATGCCAGAATTCCAGGATGTAGGGACATGTCTGAGAATAGGGAGGGAAGCATTCTGGGAACTGAAGTCCCTGGACAGCATATTGGGGCACATGAGCAGTGTGTGTTGTGCTGTCATTGGTCAGGTGGTCACATGTCCATCAGAGGGTTTATAGGGAGACATTTTTCTTTTAAATAAACAGATTTTATTGCTTGCCAACTAGCTGCCGGGTCGTGTCTTTTATATTATATTAATATACCACACCGGGACAATTCCCCAACTCCTTTGTCTTGTCCCTCTTGAAGAGCAGACACCTCACCCCTGCACCCCCTCGTAACTGCTGTCACCTGCTGCTTTGCCAGATGCCAACAGTGAATTTCTGCTCTGCTGCTCCAGCAGCCAATGGGCAGCACACAGCAGGCAGGAAGAAGCTTTCAAACACATCTTGTCCCAGTTTGTCCCAATGACAACACAAAGTGAAGGCCCAGAGGTTCTGCACCAGCTTTCTCAGGGGAGAGACGCTACAATGCACCGCACGCAGGCTGAAGAAATTTCCTTTTTTCTTTGCAGGCTACAAACCCCTCCACTTCCCACAGGATCAGGGATTTGCCTGTGTTTTATGGCTACCGGAAGCTCACCCACTATTATCTTCTGCCCAGAACACAAAGAGGATGGCTCTAAAGCACTGGAAGAGTCTGGCAACTGATTAGTAGCAATAGCTCACCTGTAGGCCATGATCTTAACATGACTGTGCTTCAAGCCTTCACAGAGGAAGGGGACATGTTTGTCTGGCCTCTGGGACAGGCTGAGGATGCAGCTGCAAGCAGAGCTGAAGGGAGCAGAGGAGAGCTCTGGCTTGGCCTTCAGGCCTGGCTTCTCTTTCAGCCTTGAAGATATCTGCCAGACTGATTTGCACTCAGATCAAGGGCAGAGAGTACAGCCTTGTGATCGGAGAATGGGAGAAGCAAAGCTGGCAGGGGGGACAGAAGAAAAGGAGGACACCTGCTCGAGTCTTGTTGGCGACTGCTATTGCTTCTTGCTGAGGAGCCCCACTATGCTCTGCATGCTTTTGCACATGCCGCACTGTGGGTATGGCCCTGCTTTACTGGTGGCTACTGCTCACCCTCTGCACATAATCACGGAAAGACTAAGGTGCTCTAGTCCAAGTCCTCTTTTGGAATAGGGTTTCCTAGAGTCAGTTGTCCTGATCCCTGAAGGTTGGGAAAAGCTAGGAAAGACATAGGCAAAGAAGACATTCAGTATTTCTGCTTTTTTCCTGTCCTGTGTAACAAGCTTCCCCTTCTTGGTGAGTGATGGGCCCACATTTTCCCTGGTTTTCCTTTTGTCACCTACATGCTTAAAGAAGTCCTTCTGGTTTGTCTCTGACACCACTGGCCTGATTCAGTTCCATTTGGGCTTTAGCTTTACCAGCTTCATCCCTGCATGCCCAGACAACATTTCTGTTATCTTTCTTTGCATCCACTCTCTCTAAGCTTCCTTTTTGTGTTTGAACAAGAAGCTCCTTATGAAGCCATCCATGCAGGCCTCCTGGAATTTTTGCCTGACTTCCTGCTTTCTAGGATGAAACTCTCTTGAGCTTGATGGAAGTGATCCCTGAATATTAACCATCTCTTTTGTGTCATTTTGCTTTGCAAGGTGTTGCAAAGGCTGTTAAACCCAACAAATATGGAAAGGGGGTTTCGATGTGAAGAAAATTAGTAGGTTGAAAACCAGGATGAATGGGCTCTGTCTGTAGCACTGCGCCAGCTAAATGAAACTTACCAGTAACATAGTTCCTTGTGGCACAGCTGCTGGGATGTGTAGCACAAGTCCTCAATGCTATGTTAACTTATGACCCTTGCAGTCATTCAGCCCCCAAGGACAGCTCCGTTTGTGTTCACAGAGATCCAATGACAGTAAGAATCACTGCCCAGCCTAGTGTTCAAAGGAGATGACAGTGTAGAGATGGGGGAAATATACTGGGGGATTTGTTCCCCAGTGTCATGGGTTTACTTGTTCTAAAAAACCAAAGGGAATTTTCTTTCCCCTGCTGTATGTGGGGGAGGAATGTTGAATGGGGAGGACAGTTTTCTGCTTTGGGTGATTGCCTACACAAAGGAACTGGCTGGCAGAACTACATTCCAGCCTAATAGCTCTGTCTGGGGCTGGGTGTGTGTGTGTGTGAGGAGTGAGCATGGGTACCAACCAGCTGCTGCAGATCCTGATAGCCCTGGCCTGTCTGTGTGTGTAAGCACAGTTTATTGATAGGAAGCAACCGAGAGAATAAACTTTTTTAATGTCCCTTTAGTGTCCCTTTAATTCCGCTTTTACTATTGAATATTTTTACATAAATAAGTTGTTCATAGTATTTTTCCCTTAATTTCCCCTTTTACTAACCAATATCATGTTAATAGTTATCCATAATATTGTGTTAAGATCCCTTTTTGGTATCCCTTTAAACTCTCTTTTTACTAGTTAATATCGTGTTATAAATGCTGTTCGTAGCATTTGTTTTTTAAGGTCACACAGTAAGGTAGTTATTTTGTATCTTTTTTTAATTTTTGATTCTTTTTGCTAATTTTATTATTATTATTACTATTCTCACTGTAATAAAAGATATTTTGTGTGTTTGAATGTTTCTGGCACTTGTTTTTTTTCCGGACATGTATCCAAACGAACTGTTACAGATGTCCGGCTGCCTCTGTGGTTCAGTAGTTCCATCTTCTTTGTTTATCTTCTTCTCACTTCAGTGTTCACATTCCTTTACAACCTCACAGCTGCAACCACTCAAATTCAGGGCCCAAGCTGTCCACAACTCAGTCACCTCCCACAAGGGGTGTGTGTGTGTGTGTGTGTGTTGGAAAAAGCTCTGAGGCTGTTTTGCTCTCGACCTGGTCATCCGGCTGCTCTCCAGCCTCGGCTTGCCTGTGCACTGCTCTGTCTCCAGCTCAAATCTGCTCAGATTTCATTGGAGAGTTTTGTACTCATTGACAAAAAAAGGGGGGTCCTGACCACAGCCAGCCGCAGACAGCATGAGTTTAGTGGGAAAGAAACCGCCCTTCTTTCCCCTTTTCCCCTTCCCCTCCTCGGTGAGTGGGAAAATCTCCATTTTTCGGTTTCTCCTGTGATCCGGGGCCCCCACACGGCAACCAGCAGAGCCCAACAGCCCCCCCTGCTGACCAACACCGAGCAACCGCAGGCTCTGCTCCTCCAGTGATCCAACAGCGCCCTCTGCCAACCGGGATTAGAATCGCACTAGAGGACAGAGAAGTATCAAACTGTTTCCTTTTTTTGCGGGTGACTTTTTGGGTACAGGATTATTGTTTAGTTGTTTTAGTGTTCTTTTGCTGGTTTTGCCAATACATATATATCCTTTAATAAAGGGTTGTTATTTTCCTTTTTTCCATACTTTCTTGATTGGAGCCTCTTAATTTTGGATTTACAATTGCTGAGAGAGAGGAGTTTAGTCTCTCATAACTCGCCCTCCTTAGCAAAACACTTTCAGTCTCCTTAAACTGAGACA